AAGGATTTCCCCTACTTTGATTAAATACTCGCTCTGTTTACTTTTCTTAAAAAAAGTCCACTTAAAGTTAATAGCAGTCATGATTTAAGAGTTTTAAAATTTGGGTCAACCACCAATCCCTCTTGCTAGGCATTGGTCTTGAGCACTCTTTTTGGTGGGGATGGGATTGTCCATTTTTTTTCCTGGGGGACTTAGGACATTGTTTATATTCAGGGGTCACAGTAAAGTGTGCACACTGTGACTTCTTATAAGGTTGACCCTCTGGTAGGGCTGGAGGTGGAGGGGACTTTATTTGGCTCTTTGTGTGTTAACAACCATGACAATGATGATTAACAAAAATGTGATCTTCATATACATTGTGCAATTGGAGAATTTTAACATTTTTCATAGGTGATTTCACAATCACCTATGTTGAAACTGCTGAACAGTTTCATCAGTGTTTCTGTTGTAGCTGTTAGCACATAGGGCATATCTGTCAGGATGTAGGGTTAAATGACTCTTCAAGAAAAAGAGAAGAATAAACCCCAGATACTTTCTCCTTCAAGTCTAGTGTATACTTCAATATACATTTTGGGTAAAATGTGGAACGATATACATAAAAATAAATTTTATTAAAACTATTAATTTCTGGACATGTTTGATTTCCATATGTCTTAGTCCATTTTCTGTGGCTATAACAAAATACTGAGGTTGGGACTTGGTGAAGAAAAGGGGTTTATTTAGCTCACAGTTCTGAAGGTTCAGGGGTATAGCTCCAGCATCTGGTTGACTCTGTTGATGACACCAGGTCTGATGACAGCACAATGGCAGGAGTGTGTTTAGAAGAGGAATTCAGGGGAGCTGCCAGGCTCACTTTAACAACCCATTCCAACAGGAACTAATCTAATCCTATAGGACCCGACCCACTCCCAGAGCATTAATCCATTCATGAGGGTGGAGTCACCTGGCCTAATTCCCTTACAGCAGGTCCTTTCTTAAAGGGTATGCCACCTCAATACCACCACACTGAGGACCAAGCTTCCAGCATATGAGCCTTTGGGGAACAAACCAGAGCTTTGTAGTATTTTGGCTAAGGAAGATATTTATTTTGAGTTTTGGCTGGCTGTTAGAAAGGCATGCCATATAAATAGTGATGGCCCAACATATATATGGTGCAGTAAAATATGACAGACCAATGGAGAAGATCTGTCAGCCAGAATGACGACTTGGTAGGAAGTCACAAAATATTCAAGAAATTCATGTGTAAATATTAAAGAGATTCTAGATCCTCACTTCTTAGAGTGTGGTCCAGGGACCTGGGAGCTTGTTAGAAGTGTAGAATCACAGGTCAACTAGAATACCGAATTGAGATTCCTACCTATATTAAAGTTTATGAAGTGCTGGTCTAGATTTCATAATCAACCACTAACAAGACTGACCATATCTTTCATTTCCTTAAATCCTGAAGTTTCTTCTTCAGTTCTGGGATGTTGAACAAAGTCCTAGGTTTTGTTTTTCCAGGACTTGGAAGGTCAGTCGTGTCTCAAGCATCTGTCCTGTTGCTGGACACCTACCTGAAGGCCTTTGCATTATCTCTGCCTGTGTTGGTGTCTTAGAGACAACAGAAAACTACACTGTCAGAGTTCTGGAGGCTAAAAGTCTAAAATCAAGGTGTCAACAGGGCCTTGTTACCCCTGAAGGCTGGGGGAGGATCCGTCCTTCTTTCTTCAGCTTGTAGAAGATCCAGGTATTCCTTGGCTGGTCATGGAGTCGCTCCAATCTCTGTTTCTTCCTTTACGTAGCTATCTGCCCTCTGTGTCTTCACATGACATTCTTTGTATGTCTGTGTCTTCAATACCCTTTTCTTATAAGGACATCAGAACACTGTTACCCTCTGCTCACAACATTTTCATCAGCCAGTCAGGATATAACCTTGTTTTGTGTATTTTCTGTTTAAACACAACTTAGTTAATGCACCTTGTTGATTGATTAATATTGAATTCACAGCCACTGTATGTAGCACTATAACTCATGCCCAAGTGAAGCTCATCTCATTACATGTATTTTCTCCAGAAAGAACATGACAGCCTTGTTTTGCTTAGGAGCAATATACAGTACTTCAGTACCGCTCTTAGAGGCCATTTTAAATGGTAAAATGACCAACAAAAAACACAAGACTGTGGAAAATGTCACACTAAATAGACCGTGAAAAGGACATTTGTTTCCAGTAGGAGAGCAGAAACAGGAAGGTAAAATGTGTCTTGTTCAAAATCAGCTGGGACTGTGCATACCAGGTGAATTGTGTCCACCCCCGCCCCCTTTGCATGTGTATGCAACAACCACAAAACACCATAAGTATTGATTTTTGTGGTAACCAATAGATTTTAGTAAGTAGGCAAATTCACATTTACAGGCTTTGGAAATAATGTAGATATCTGTATCTTCCCTCACAGGCTGTAGTTTTAATGACAGAAGCCTTTTTGAAATATCTTAGGTGATCATTTTTTTTTCAACATGAGTTATTTATTTTTTGAAAAAGAGAGAGATGGGAAGAAATATAATATTATTATGACTATGAACTGGAATCAGGGCTATTTGTGCATGCCTCTTGTATTTCCACATTACTGAGGGTAGGCACAATGGCACCACTTATGCATGTTATGTTGGCCCCTCAGAAGAACTGGAGACTTTTGCTGTCTCGTAGGACTACTGTAGCTGCCCCCCACTCCTGCTCTTCCTTCTTCCCCCACTCTGTGTCTTAAGATCTTCTCCTAAGGAAGGATCTGACTGGTTTAGTGTGCACCAATTCATGGGACAGAGCCCTAGATCCACTCAGACCACTGTCCCTTGGTATAATCTTCTACGTATAGCTTTGCCAAACACTCTCAGAGCTCTTCTGTAACTCCTTACCATCTTGTGTGTAAGACTCTTCATGTTGGTAATTCCCTTCTTTCCTATCACCTATTAGACTGAGTTTCAAGATGGCGGGGATAGTCTTATGTTTTCTAGTTCCTGGAACTTCATTCTCAATCCGTGATCTTTGAATGAGTATATGAATGAATGGAATAACTTGGAATCCATGAAGAGCAGCTATACTGGGAACTCCCTGTAGCCATTTCATGTCTTTTATAATGTTTCAAAGGTTCCTGTTACTGTTTCCAAGAATGGAGACTTGGATCCTGCAGATATTGAGGGGATGGGACCCAACCATCAATGGCAGCCCTGACGGGGCTGAACTTCAGAATTGGTCCAGTCCTTATTCTGAACATTTCCTGTGTAGAAGGCAGCATTTAGGCTTTGTAGGGTTATAAAAAGAATATATAAGAAGTGAACTCCTATTCCCAAAGAGTTTACAACTTGCTTAGGTAGAGAGGGTACACACAGCTGAAAAGTTTATAGGTCAGGTAAGAGATAAGATTAAAGACTTGACTTACAACAGCTACCCTAAAGCAATGTTTGATTTTCAAATGAGTGGTGCAAGATCTGTGTGTATTGTGCGAGTTGGAGGAGGAGGAGGATTCCTTTGGGCTGGAGTGGTCTGGGAAGGCCTTGTGGAGAAGCAGAGTGGACTCTGGGTCTGTCTTGGAGTATTGCTGAGGATTGGCAAGGCCAGGGAAAGAGGAGCAGAGCGCTTGGTATGAGCAAGGAGCAGAAGGTGTCTGCAACATGCTTGGATTAGAAATGTGAGAGGGGTACAAGGAAAAGGCAGGTAGCCTCTACTAGTAAAGGTGAGGCCCTTCATGGTGCACGTCATGACGCTTGCACTCTGGCGCTGGTCGGGGTAGGGCAAGCTGGAAAAGAGACATTGATCACCTCATTCCACATTCAACTGGATATAATTTTAAGAACTCATTTTAAGGAGAAATGAGTTCCACAAACAAGAGACAGTTAAGGGTTGAAAAGAGGGCTGGGGTAGAGCTCAGTTGGTAGAGTGCTTGCCTTGCATGCACAAGGCCCTGGGTTCAATCCCCAGCACCAACACCAAAAAAAAAGGGGGGGGTTGAAAAGGGGATTATAATGTCACATTGTTCACAATGTCCTATAGTGTAGAGACTTGAATTAGCATCAACTTTGCTTTCAGATCCTAGATTAAATACAAATTTAGACAAAAATAGGGTGAAGAAGGGTAAACTGTGTGGAAGATGCTTTATTAGTGATTCCACTCAGCTATATTTTGATGGATGAGGGAAAGTTTTCGAAAGGAATTTGGAAGGAGTGGGGAGAGGCATTGTGTGGGCTGATGAGGAAAGATGTTCAGACCAGGGAGTGATTTGCAAAAGGAAAGTTAAGTTGAAGGAAAAGGGGATGCTTTCAGGTCAGAGGAGAGGACTGTACTGAGGACAAATGCTTGAGGAAGCAAGTAAGAGATTACATCAGAATAAGAGCAGAGTTGAAGCCAGGATAAACGCTGGTGATCTCTGAAAACAGAAATGGCTGGTAGTGAAAAACCTTGGGGGTAACCAAATTAATTGATTCCTTTAGAACTCTCAAGTTCCAGTATTTGGGATTCAAGGCATTTCTATAGCCCATATCCCCAAAAGGAACCAATTGGTTGTCATAACTCTTTATAACAAAACTATTTTGTTTTGGCATCCTTGGATTTTGGAAGGATAAATACTCTAAAGTATTGTAAAATACTGGTCCTCAGAATGCCTGGTATGTTGAAGGTTTCTTCTATAAACATAGCCAGAGTAGGAGGGGGTAAAATAACATGAGGCAGTCACTGAGGAGGGTCTGAATCTCCTGGCTAGCTGGGTGTCTGCAAGACCAGGCCTACCATGTCCATAGGTCCCTTCAACTGAAAGCCCACTCAGAGAATGGCAGGAACTGGGCCATTCCACCACCCCCACCAAGACAGGATGAACAGGATAGATAAGTAGGGGCAGGTGGCCAGAAGGCAATACCCCTGAATACACTCACCTAGAGCCCCAACCCTGAGGAAGGGGGGTGGGACAAGCAGGGATGATACAGACAAGACAGTAACAGAAATACCTAATGTTATCTTTCTTTTGCTTTTGCAGAAAGGTACCATGCCAGTGGAAAGGATGCGGATGCGCCCATGGCTGGAAGAACAGATAAATTCAAACACAATACCAGGGCTAAAGTGGCTTAATAAGGTAAGTGTGTGCATATGCTTGAGCATATGAGAGATTGAGATTGAGAGGTCCTGGCTGAGAACATGCTCCCATGGACCACCAAAAGTAAAAATTGTTATTTGTTTTCAAAATCTCAGACTCAATTCATTACAAAAACCAACCACCTAACTATGGTCATAGAACATCAAGTTATCATATCAAAAAAGTTTTTATCATTAGCTCAGAAAGTTACCTCAATCCTGAGTTCTCAGTGGCAGCTCACCTTGGGATTCTGGATACTTTTTTGGGAAGCTCTCTGCTATGGTTTTCTTTAGTGACTGTTTAGTCAGCTTTTTCCATCACTGTGACCAAAAGTTCTGATAAGAACAATGCAGAGGAGGAAAAGTTTATTTGGGGGCTCATGGTTTCAGAAGTCTCAGTCCATAGATGGCAGACTTCATTGTTTTGGTCTGAGATTGAGGCAGAACATCATGACCGAAGGGCAGAGGAAGGCTGCTTGGGACCTGGAAAACAGGAAGTAGAGTGAGAGAGAGGGACAGAGACCTCTGCTTACCAGGGACATAAGGTAAACCCTAAAGGCATGCCCCCAGTGACCTACCTTCTCCAGCCATCTCTTATTTGCTTCCTCTGAATTGGTCCAATCCTTATACTGAACATTTCCTGTGTAGAAGGCAGCCTACCTGCCTACAACTACCACCAAGTCAATCCATATCAGTGGATTAATTCACTGATGAGGTTAAGGCTCTCATTTCACCTCTGAACTGCTGGGAGCCATCCGTGAACTGTGCATGAACCAAATGGGCACGGAAGCCATTGGGTAGGAAAGTCTGGTATCTGGGAACTCCCAGTGGCACTCCTGCTGGTTTGAGACCACCCAGTACATGTGATATCCTACCTAGCTCTGTCAGAGTCCTAAGTGCACTGGAGCCACATAGCCACACAGCTTCTCAGAGATGAGTGTGGCTTGCCAAAATGCCAGTCAACCTGTTGACTGCAAGACACCGTGAAGCAAGATTCCACCTGCTGAAACCTTATCCCTGACTTTGATGTACTCTCCCTTAAATAAAGGACTGGAGCCATTTTCTAGTTGTTTGGTTCTAACTCCTAATTGGACTAGAGGACCTATCAGGAACTCCTTTTTTTTGAACCTAATTTCTGGCTCTGTCTCTTATTTCTTTACTAAATATTTCAAACTTCCTCTGGTTGGCTCATCACCATCTAAGCAGGAAACTGCCCTGGTAGGGTGCTGGCTGCCCCTTGGTACTGAACTTCCATGCATAGTCTCACACACGAGCTTTTGAGGGAGACTCATATCTAACTCATAACAGTGCCCTTGCCCTTTTCTTTAGTCTCTAGAGTTCTTTCTTGCTTCTCCTATCTTTCTAGGATGAAAGGACATGGAAACGCTGCCATTTTATATTGGGAATGGAGCATACTGATTTTTTCCCCAAATGCTCTCAATGTAAAGAACCTTCTTTTTTGTCTTTTAAAAATACTCATTTTTATCTTTACATGAAACCTTGTTGGTATTCCCACCTGTCTTAAAAAAGAAATTGCTTATCATTTACAACTCCCTCAACGCACACATGTACACACAACTACTCCCTTATTCTGTTAACCTCAGAACTATCAGTCTAATCATAATCAATCTTAGCTATTGGGGGTGCATCAGGAAGAGATAATGCATGCAAAAATAACAAACATCTAAAAATATGTAGTTATAATTTAGAAAAGTGACTCGATGTAATATGTCATGCCTGTTTTAAGGAGGCCCAAGGGAGAAGTTTCTCTCCTGCTACCAGGAACAATTGCAATTCTTCTGAGCAAATGTCTTTTTCCTAGTCACCATCCCCCAACCCTTTTCTTTTTTAATCTTAAGGACATGATGAATAATTTAGCTGGTCAGGCTTTATCTTTGTTCCAGGTGCAAGAGCTTAGAGCCAGATTGCAGATTGTGTCCTGCTTCTAACAAGGGAAGAAGGTGCTGCAGCAATTTTTCTTTTCTTTAATATCACTCCTGGCTTCATTTTATCTTTTTAGATATCTCAAATCTTTTTTTTGTTGTTGTTCTTTTTCCCTTGTCCATTTATTTTGAACTCAATGTTCCTGTATTTGAATAYGGCAAGTGAGTCCTTTCTGAAACAAGGTGCTCGTTTTGTGTGTTCTACTGGGGCACCTTGAGGCCTCAGACAATATATTTTTCTATGCTTGTTCTATCTATTGTGTTTTTAGATTTAGATACATAATTTTCCTTTTCCAAAGAAACAAATAAGAAACCAGGTTGTTTCTTCTATAGCTCAATTAGCAGCGGTATATGAAGGTAGAAGGAAAAGGAGTTGGAGACACATAGGGTAACAAATACAAAGAGCAAAAGCTAACATTTGTTAAGTGCCCGATTCCCAGGTACTCTTCTAAGCAGGGCGTATGTGTTAATTCACATGATCCCCACTGTGGAAGGCATGGGGAGGGTAAGTAGGATTCTATTTTGAATAACAAGAAAACATTGTCTGTCTTGATTTACTGTAAGATTGAAGTAGATGTTCCTGAATTTGAAGAAAGTTGTCTGTTTTCTCTTTTTCTTATTCTAAAAAGTGCCTCTGTATGTGGAGAACATGCAATGCCATCAGGCCTCCTGTGTCAAGTAGGCACTTGATAGGCTGTATTTGGTCATGCTCTACAGGAAGTTGAATGATGCCCCCACCCCAGGGTATGTCCCCATTCTAACCTCCGGAACCTGCAGTCTTATTTGGAAAAAGGGTGTTTGCAGATGCAGCAAAGATCATCCTGGATTCTCTGGCTGGGCCCTAAGTCCCTTGACAGTTGTCTTTATAAGACGCACTCATGCACACACACGCATACACACATTCACAGGAGAACCTATGTGAAGACACTGAGACTGGCATGACACAGCCACAAGCCAAAGAACTCCTGGAGCCACCAGAACCTGGAGGAGGCAAAGATTCTTCCCTAGAGTTTTTGAAAGGAATACAGGCCTGCTGACACCTTGATTTCAGATTTCTGGCTTCCCAGAACTGGGATAGAATGTTTCTGTTACTATAAGCTGTCCTGTTATAGTCTTTTGTTATAGCCTTAGGAAATCAAGGCACCCTCCAAGGATCGTCCTCTGCAGGACTGTCCATGGAGGCCTCTCTTTTTCCATCCACTTTGTCCATGTTTTTCTGATCTAGAACCAAAAGGCAAATGGATATCTTTTTGCATAACTGAACACTTAGTCCCTCACAGATGGTCCTTCTCTGCTGGTCTTCATTCATTTGCTCTTGGCGAGAGAGTTCTCTTTCTGAGTAGGAGTGGGGAAGGGGACTTCTTTGCCATCTTGTGGGCTCTTCTGCTAGAGCCGTACATGAGCCCAGCTGGTGGAAGGGCTGCTGACCACTGCTGCCCCTCAGGACAGTGCTGGCACAGTATGGCCTGGTGTTCCCTATCAGGTAGGGGTCCCACTGGGACCTAGCCACAGCAGGCATGTGGCTGTGGTTTGTGCCCACAGGCAGTGCCATCATGGTCACTGCAGACCTTGGATGGGGTCAGGGTATCAGCTCTCCAAAACTACATTCCCATGGGCATTTAAAAAAATTATTTAAAAAATTTGTTCTAATTAAGTATACATGACAGTAGAATGCACTTTGACACATCATACATAAATGGAGTATAATTTCTCTTTCTTCTGGTTGTACATGATGTAGAATCACACCAGTTGTGTAATCATATATGTACATAGGGTAATAATGTCAAATTCATTCTACTATCCTTCCTACTCTCATACCTCTTCTCTCCCTGCACTTTCCTCTACCCAATCCAAAGTACCTCTGTTCTTCCCAACTTTCCACCCTTATTGTGAATTAGCATCTGCATATCAGAGAAAACATTTGGCCTTTGTTTTTGGGATTGGCTTATTCTGCCTAGCATATTCTCCAACTCCATCCATTTATTGGCAAATGCCATAATTTCATTCTTCTTTAAAGCTGAATAATATTCCATTGTGCAATACACCACATTTTCTTTATCCATTCATCTATTGAAGGGCACTTATGTTGGTTCCATAGTTTAGCTATTGTGAGGTGAGCTGCTATAAACATTAATTCATTAATGTGGCTGCATCACTGTAGTATGCTGATTTTTTTATAGGTTTCTTGTTGATTTAGGCTTGTTGGGATTCATCTGTCCACATAAATATTTCATCTAGAGCCTAATATTTCCTTTCCATTCACAAGCATCCCTGCCCAAGAATCCCTGTTTTTAGTTTGAGCAATTTAATCTCTTTCTCACTAAGACTGCAGGGACTAAGAAAGCAGATGCTGCCTCTGGGTCTTTGATTTACTTATGCCTTAGTTAGTGTTGCAGTCCACTTTGTGTTGCTGTGACAAAATACCTGAGCTTGGGTAACTTATCAAGTTTATTTGGCTTACAGTATTATAGCTAGAATGTCCAATCAGCAGGGTGTCCATGTCCTGGCGAGGGCTTCCTTAACTGCTTTACAACATGGCAGAGAAGTAGAAGGGGCCAAGTGTGTAAACAAGGAAGAAAGACATCTAGAAGGACCCTGACTTGCTCTTACAATTGCCACTCTTAAGGGGGGAACTATTCCACTCTTAACAGATCTGATCCTCTCCTGTGAGACAGCAGTGGTGCATTCAGTAGTCCTCTTTAACTAATTATCCACTATTAGACTCCATCTCTTAAAGGTCCACACTGGGGACCAAGGAAACTTTGGAGGATGCTCTCTAACCACATCCAAATCATAGCCGTTGAATTCAGAATGTGTCCTATTTATGGTGCCATTGTCACAGGATTATCAGAGTTATCAATAGTGGGTTGGCCATTGTCACATCTCTCTCTTCAGTGAAGCCTTTCCAACTCAGTACATTCTTAGTAAAAAACGAACAGGTGATTAATTACTGGCTAAATTTGTTTCCATTTCCTCCTCCTAATAAATTTGAAGGAGGGAAGAAATGGATTAGGTCATTTGAATTCCTTCAAAGGAACAGGAAGTTTATCAAAGCAGTATTATATGTGGCTTATGAATGGGGCTGGGGCTTGAACAACTTCTTTTTATTATGAGTAGGTTTGGATAGTCTAATGATTAGGATGAATAGAATAGCAATTCCCATATGCTCACATCTTAGATCTATTATTTTTTGTTGTATTTTTGTGTGTGCATGCATGTGCATGCGTGTATGTGTGTGTTTGTGTGTGTGTTGTGTGTGTGTGTGTGTTATTATAAAACTACTCTCTGACAATGTATGTTTATAAGATTTAAGGACATATCAACAATGCTGTTATCAATTAGATAAAGTTAATAATTTTCAATGTCATCATTATCCCATTCATATTCAAATGGCTTTCGTTTTCCCAGAATATCTTTTTACAGCTGATGCACCTGATTCATTCAATCAGACTCTTAAAGAAAGCTCACAGGTTGTGTTTGGTTTTATGACTTGAAGCCTCTTCTGATCCTGAACAGCATCCTGTGTTCTTTTTATTTTCCTTCTTGCCCTTGACTGTTGAAAGGGTCTAGGGTAGTTCTGGAATTGTCCAATTTTGTGGTGTCTCTGGGTCATTTATTTAGGAAGAAGGAGGCAGACACTGCCAAGCTCATTGTTTCCCTCCTGGTTATTGATGTTCTTAGTGCATGAGGGACATCCCCTGGGATGCAGGCATTGAGGCCACTGCCCAGGCACAGAGACCATTCAGCAGTGCCAGACTTTCCCTTTTCTTTACTTGAAAACAGGCTTGTGTTTGTGTCAACATCAGGCTGTCTCTGCCCCAAGTAAGAAGTCCAAAACAAAACAAAAAAGCAAACTGATCAGAATATCTTAAAAATATTGGAAGAAAGAAGAGAGAGATAACTGGACTAGTTTCTGCAGGAGCCAAAGTGTGTGTTCTGCACTGTGCAAGAGAATCACAGATGCTTTTCAGAGCTCAGGCAGTGCTTGTGTCTTCTGCCCTCTGATGGGCTGGTCACGGAGTCTACAAAGACACATAGCAGCACTGTCATGTCCCTCAGAATACAGGGGTCTATGATTCCAACGTTGACTCAGTAGAATCTCTTTTGATTTAAAAATGAATCTCACCTTTTACCTTTCAACATGGTCTTTTTAAAAACGGTATCTGTGATATGCTTATTTTAGTAGTTTCTTCTTTATTTTTTTTGCAATGATTTTTTTTAAAAAACCCATGTAAATAGTCAAAAGTTACATGGAGTTTTAACTATTTTAAGTGTGCAGTTCAGTGAGAATAAGTACATTCATGCTCTTGTGCAAACCATCCTCATGTAGTTCCAGAACTTTTTTCCTGTCAAAAGGAAACACTGTACCCTGTAAGCCCTCAGAGCCCATTTCTTCCTCTCTTAGCTCAGGGCAACCACTAAGCTACTTTTCTGTCTATAAAACTTTGCCTTCTCTGGATATTTCGTATAAATGGAATCATTCAATATTTGTCCTTTGGATCTAGCTTCTTTTAGCACAACGTTTAAAAGTTCATCCTTAACTGGGCATGGTGGCACAGCCTGTAATCCCAGGGGCACAGGAGGCTGAGGCAGAAGGATCGAGAGTTCAAAGCCAGCCTCAGCAAAAGTGAGGTGCTAAACAACTCAGAGAGACCCTGTCTCTAAATAAAATACATAATAGAGTTGGGGATGTGGCTCAGTGGTGAGTGCCACTGAGTTTAATCCACGGCACACACACACAAAAAAAGTTCATCCTTGTGGTAGCATTTTTAATTCCTTTTTGTGGCTGAATATGCAATATTTTGTGTATACATTCATCAGCTGATGGAAAGGTGAGTTGTTTGCATCTTGAGGCTTTTGTGAGTAGAGCTACCGTGTACATTTATATATCAGGTTTTTGTTTGGACACCTGTTGCAATCTTAGGGTATGTAACCAGGGGTAGAATTACTAGATCAACTGGTAATTGTGTTTTACCTTTTTGAGGAATGGCTAAGCTGTTTTTTCAAAGTGGCTGCACTATTTTATATTCCTTCCAGCAGCATAGAAGAGTTCTAGTTTCTCTGCATCCTCATCAACACTTTTTATTTTCTTTTTTTTTGCTTTTTGTCGTTGTAAATTTTTAAAATTCCAGCCATTCTGGTAGGTGTGAGGTATTTGTTGCTTTGATTTGCAGTTCCTTAATGACTTAATGAGGTTCAGCATCTTTTCATGTGCTGTTTATTTGTTTATTGAGAGAGGTATATTTGGGTCTTTTGCCAATTTCAAGAAGAGCCATTGTGGATTATTTATTTATTTATTTATTTATCTATCTGTCTATCTATCTATTTATTTATTCGCGGTGCTGGGGATTGAACTCAGTGCTGCATGAATGCTAGGCAAGTGCTGTACCACTGAGCCACACCTCCTGCCCCCCCCTTGGTGGATATTGCAGGGTTTGGTAGCTGTTTTTTTTTTTTAATTTGTTTTATTCTAATTTGTTACCTATGACAGCAGGATGCATTACAATTCATATTACACAGAAAGAACACAATTTTTCATATCTCTGGTTGTATACAAAGTATATTGACACCGTTCATGTCTTCATACATGTACTTTGGATAATGATGGCCATCTCATTCCACCATCATTTCTAACCCCATGCCCCCTCTCTTTCCCTCCTACCCCTTTTATTTGATTTCATGATTTTTACATGGTTTCTGTGAGACTAGATTTGATTTTGTGTGTGTGTGTGTGTGTGTGTGTGTGTGCGCGCGCGCGCCTGTGCACTAATGCTTATAAGGATCTGCCTTACCTTTGTGCCTTGCAAGGTAGACTTTACAGGATGTCATTCCAGAACTCTCTTGGTCTACCAAAAAAAGTACAACAGCAAACTTTTCAGGATCTGTGTCTTTTAGCAGAAAATTTTAGATTGTGTGTGTGTGTGTGTGCATTTCAGGAAAATTATTTCATTGGAAATCAGTTCTTTTTCATTTATATTCATGTTCATGTGAACATAAACAAAAAAAAGCTGCATTGAAGGATTTTGTTTTCAGATTTTCATGTACAGTAACAACCAAAAAAAGAACACCACTTTTCTTTGCACTTTGGCCTACCTGAGATGAGACTCTCAATGGCTGCAAATGACACAGAATGAATAATGAAGAGTTTATGAAAAGGTCTCTCACTTTCAGTTCTTCTTTATTAACTGACTTTTAAAAATATGGTAGAATTTTCCCTTGTAACAGTTTTTGGGAAACTCTCCAACATTCTGAAATATTTTCAGCTTAGTGAAGAGGTACTGAGTCCCTGTAGGGACCGCTGGGACGCTTTCTGGATTTCACCATGTAAGACCAAAGTGGTGGAAAATCCCTCCTGATATTCCCTTTCCTTCCCAGTGCGTGCACCCTGAACTTAGCAGTAATCAGGATTGCCTGAGAGCTCTTTAAAAAGTGCAGTTCCTGGGCCCTGCTCTTCAAGAATCCAGGTCTGTCACAGGACAGGGAATCCTCTAACGCCAGGAGATAATATGTAGTGTGAATATGGAATCACTTGACCTTGGTTTAGAACATAGACATTTTTAATCATAAGTTCCTTGATTTAATAATTTGGTTCTGTTTCTCAACTGAAAAATGAAAATTATATACTTAGTTGGGTAGCTAGTAACTGTGAGATATAAAACTGAGCCCCTTGTGGACATGGGTAGACAAATGTACAGTGCTTCGGGGACCTTTGTCTTTCTGGCTGGACCAGGGTGCACCACACGCAGTTTCACTGTGAATATGACTTTGTTTCTGAAGCTTTAGTTTCTAATCATGTGTTTGCCTGGGTTGTTTTATTAAACAGTTTGGGGTTATCTCTGATTGTAAGAAAGAGAGAGAGAATCTGACAGGATTGTACTCAGGAACTTTTTACCAGAAACTTTATGAGTGTCCTCTCATAGTCTCTTACATTTTGTTCGTACTTCTTGCTATTTCATGCAGGGCTATAGACCTCTAGGGATTAGAACAAGAGACAAAATTCTCTATTTTTGTCAAACACACAAGCAGATGGAGATACTTGGTTTCTGTGACAGTGACCTCAGATACACTCAACTTCCCTTTAGCAGCATAAAGGGTGTGTGTTATTTTTAACTTACCTAAGGCAGCTGGAGTTACTGTTTACCAAATGATGAGAAGAAACTGTAAGCATTAGAAGTTTCAGTCGGTGACCAGTTATCTATGGTACTGTTAAAAAAAAAGACAGGCACAAATTGTAGGACTCTTTGGCACATCCACATCTTCCCTTTGACCTTGGAATACATTCCTACTCTTCCAGGCTCCAGGAGATTCTCACTGTCCTCCAGGGTAGACTGTCAAGATTTGGGACCCTTTGGGGAAGTGGATTTGCTTTATGGTTGATTGTACCATAGACACTCAGCAACTCAGTGGTACTTAGTGGGAAATCTTATTAGCTAGAACTTAAGAACCCTTCGTCATGTTTAGCCAAACCCCATGACTGCAGTTCTTTTTTACCTTCATTAACTCCAGGAAAAGAAGATTTTCCAGATCCCCTGGATGCATGCGGCTAGACATGGGTGGGATGTGGAAAAAGACGCACCACTATTTAGAAACTGGGCCATCCACACAGGTAATCAACCCCCTGTATTGTGTAGCGTCAGGTGCTATCGTTTGTTTTCATTACACATATAATATATCCTGACTTATGGTCACATCACAGAGAAGTGGTGTTCCACCCATCCTCCAGGACCTCAGTCTTTAAATGGCCCCCAATGTAGTATTCTGATAAATTCCCCAGTGTTACCAGGGCAATATTCATTCATTTGTTCTGGAGCTATAAACTTGGGTTGAATTTGTTTTCCCTAAAGGTAGTCAGGCATATATTTATTTATTACAAAATTCAAGTAGGGAGCTATTTACAGGGATGAAATTTTTACTCAGTGTTTGAAAATCACAAATTATTTCTGCCTGTTGGGCTTTCACCCTTGCGTAGAGTTCACATTGATTCTCCATTCTACCAGTTGATTTTTTTCTCTCAAGCAGTTTGGTAGAAACCATCCCTGCTTGTCTCAGTTTGCCCCAAAGTGTCTAGGTTTTAAAAATAAAATTCTAACATCCTAAGAACCTTCCCCTTCAGTCCCAGACAAAACAGAATGGCTGGTTACTGTGGGCAAAGGCTCTAATGAAAAGGTCTCTCTGTAGTACCTGGTCAGCAAGACTTTGTTTCCAGAACTTTTTTACTCTGTGTCTAATTTTTCCTTTTTTTCCCCCCTCCTCTGGCTATTTTGTTAGGAAAGCATCAGCCAGGAATAGATAAACCTGATCCCAAAACATGGAAGGCGAATTTTCGATGTGCCATGAATTCTTTGCCTGATATCGAAGAAGTTAAGGATAAAAGTATAAAGAAAGGAAACAATGCCTTCAGAGTATACCGGATGTTGCCCTTATCTGAACGACCTTCTAAGAAAGGTATAGATATTTACTGACTAAAATAACAATCGCTCAATACATACCACGATGCCTTTGTGATTTCTTTTATTTCTACAACCATGGTTGCTACAAGGGCAGAGTACCTGTTAATGCCATAGGTGATAATTCTGCCCTTACCTTACTTGGAAAAATGTCTTTCAAGGCACCAAAGGCATAAAAGATTCATTTGAATTTTTATCATGTGTAGATTAAAGTAACAAGTTCACTGAGAGTTTTAGAATTCAATGTAGGGGAAATGTTTCTCTCTCTGTCCACAAATTAATCCCAAACTATTGTTTGTTGCCACAGGAAAGAAACCAAAGACAGAAAAAGAAGACAGAGTTAAGCACATCAAGGTAATCTTCGGTTGTTCAGAGAGAGAGCCAAAATTGGGCCCACATTAATGATTCATGTTCTGTTTCATACAAACAAATAATATGATCTCTGTGGAGTGTTCAGTCTCTCTCAGGTGCTTTATGTGTCTCCTCTTTGGCATGTACTCACTTGCAGACACAGGTACACATATTCCCCACTTAATCCAATATCACTGAGAAATTTATGAATGAAGTTACAAATTGACACTGTGCTCGACAGTCCAAAGCCTGCATCTGGTCACTACAACTGTTGTCTGCCAGTTAGTTCCAACTGCGCTCTAGTAGCCAGCTTACATCTTATATTATTATGAAATTTATTTTCAGGCTATTAAAGATATTTTAATGTATCTTAAATATTATCATGTACTTCTATTAAAATGTATTAACTATATTTTACATATATTCCATCATAGGCCATTAGGAGGGGGATGCAGTGCTGAGCTCAAGCACTCTGTTGGTGTAGTTCTCATGGTTGTTTTCTTCTCCACTGTAGAACTATCTCTCATGACTTTCAAGGGTTTTCTGTAGGGTTGTGTGTATGTGCAAGAGCTTTTTAGTAGGCTGTCTGATATGTTTGAGGATCTTCGTGCATGGATCGTATAGCCCTTGTTAAACAGTGAGGAAAGAGCCAAGTGTCCCAAGCACAGCTGGGGAACAGCTTCTGTGGCTAAGAAAGAGCAGATGGTACAGTCACAGACCCATAGGCCACCTGAGAGACCATCAAGTTCACGGGCTTCCATTTGCAGAGGAAGAAACCGAGGTGCAAAAGTTGACTGGCATATGTCCAAGATTGTGTGGTCATAACTATTCTGATTTGTAATCTAGAAGCACTGTTGAAAAAAAGACCCATACTGTCCAGACAGCATGATGTTTAAAAACAAGCCGGTAGATTGAGATCATCAGAAGAAAAGTGCAATATAATTTATTTCAGATATATAATGAAGCTTGTGGGAGGGTCACATCCCTTGTTATCCATGGAGGATTGACTTTAGGATGCCCGCTTAAAACCCATAGATGCTCAAGTGCCTTATATAAAGTAGTATGGTATTTGCATAGAATCAATGTATATCCTCCATTTCACTTTAAATCATCTCTAGATTACTTATGATACCTAACAAAATATAAAGGCTATGTAAGTAGCTGTCTATTGTCCAGGGGGTAGTGACAAAGTAAAAAAGCTTGTGTGTGTTCAGTGCAGACACAATTGCTTTTTCTAGTATGTTCAGTCTGCAGTTGAATCCATAGATGCAGAACATGTTGATACAAAGTTAGATTTTGAAAAACCTGGAAAAACTTTTCAAGTTTTGGAGAGATTTACCTCTGCAATGAAAAATAAATACTGTAGACATAGTACTTTAGCAGGGGTACTTCCAGTTGCATTCTCGATATTTTTAGTTATTGGCTCATTTATAATGTAGCACAATATTAAGAACTAATTTACTTAAGTTTTTATTGTGGAAATATTTTATGCACATAGAAAGGAGACAAATGAGTAAACTTCACTGCAGAGGCGATCACCCTAATATCAACATTAATCAGCTTCTTGCCAATTTTGTTTCATTAGTATTTTCTAATGACTTCTGACTTTCAACATAAAATCATAGATATTCAACTTATTTTGACTTACAAAAACAATTTCTTATGGTTTAGTTCAATATTTGGAAGCAAATTCCAAACACTATGTTATTTCTTCCACAAATATTTCATTTTGTATATTTAAAAGATAAATGCTCTTTAAAATACCATAGTATCAGTATTTTACATGAAAACATTAATAGTAATTAATTGATATCATCAAATATTCAGCCAGTGTTCAGATTTCCAGTTGACTTAAATATTATTATACCTTTTATTCAATTTGTTTACCTGAATTAAGATCCATATAAGACTCGCATGTGATTTTTTTTATGTCTCAAGTTTTTTTTTAATCTATAGGTGTTTCTTACATCACTTTTTAAAAAAATTATTTTTTCTTGCAATTGTAAAAAACTAGTTGTTAGCCATCTTTCACAACAGTGTGGATTTTTTTAAAGTCTTGCAGTTTGATTATTTTATTGAATGTATTTTTTCCATAAATATGTGATTTTGAAAAATTTGATAGAATCTTAAGTGTGAATGTATCATATTTACTCTTTTCACAGCATCTAGCTTACTGCCTGGCATGGAACAAATAATTAATACATTTTTTGACAACTTAATGGATGTATAAACATTTTTGAATAAATAGATGCATAAATAAATATGTGGTGAAGTGAGGGATTTTATATTAGGATGCAGATTTAATTTCACAACTGCAGGTAGGAGAGAAATAAGAATGGAGTAACATGTTTATTTAACACATTTTGTATAAATCTACCCACTATTTTCCATTGAATGTCAGATGCCAGTGATTATAAGATGTATAAGAAATATATTATTTTACGTATTTCTCGTAAAAATCAGCTTCCAATGAAGCAATGACACACAATTGATTATAAGGCGTCTCTGTTTCAGGGGTGTGGAAATGTGAAGAAATGTGCTTCCTAGAATTGATGACATGAGGTGTTCTCATAAGTAAGGGATCCTTGCATTGACATTACCCTTGCAGTGACTTCCACATGTCCATTAAAATGAGCAAGTTGAGGAGAGCATGGCTGTGAGTGGGACTTGGCTTTGTTGGCTCAGGAAGAAAGTGAGAGGTTCCCCTTGGGTGCAGCATGTGAGTCAAGTTCCCCCTCAGCAAAGTGCGTATTATGAAATTCTCTGTAATGAAGATATGGTCAGTCCCTGAAATGTGTCCCTTGGGGGACACCATTCCTTCAGCAGAAGGCAGATGATTCATCAGATATAAGTTCATCGTAACTTTTGAATTTAAATCTACTTCTACATGTCTTATAACACAGCAGTGGAAAATGGGTAAGGCCAGTGGGCTGCCCACGGTTTGTGGTTCCTGGCTGCCAAAGTCAGTGAGTTGACTTGGGGTATCTGTAGAAGGTTTTTACAGTTAATTCCCCAGGTGGTCTGGAATGGTGCAGGGAGAGGACCTTATCCTTTCTGAGCTATGAATACATGACTTTATTTTTGTATATTAGAACACCTGAGCTCCAAGTTTATATGTTCTGTGCAAACTTATAACAGGATAAACTAGGTAGCTTTCTTCTAGTCAGAAGTTTGTCAGTGTGTGCCTAGTGTCATGAATACGTGCTGTCGAGGCAAGCTCTCCCCAGTTTTCAAATCCAGTTGAGGCTTTAATTAGCAAACAATGTTTAGGACATGCCAGCCAATTACCTGAAGTTTTTCTGGGTCACTCAGATGATTTATGCTGTCACAGCACCCACTTTGGTCCCCCAAGATTCACAGCCGTATGGTTGGTTTGGAAATGATGCCTCAATCTCCTCCGGTATTCTTTTTGTGAATGCATTCTATGTACTTAGTGAACCACATTTTACCTGACCTCAGTCCCACCTGTGTGAAGGTGGCCATCTAAGGAAATTTGAAAGGAAAAACCAATAGTGAATTATGTTAGACTGTATGTCATCAGTACATATATGTGTTTCAAAAATATCATGGTGTAGTGTTCTGTGAGAATTCAGACAAGACAGAGAACATAGGATAAAAGTAGATAAAACTGAGGGTAGACAGTTGGCTTTTTTTAACCCCTCTAAATGGCAATTATTATAACCTCATTTGATCTCCCTGTGATAAATAGGTCATCTCCCTTTTACATATTGAGGAAGTAGAGGCACAGAGAGATTGAGTTATTTTGCCAAGGTTGCACTGCCTTATGGAACTCTGGGACTTGGATTCCAGTCAGTCATCTCCAGGACCTGTGCTCTGTTACTTCATCCAGTGCCTCTCTGTCTCTTGGAATCTGCAGTGAGAACTTTGGGTTGGGTAGGATAAAATGGAAGCATTTCTCAAAACTAGAAGCTTCATGAATGAAGCTCTAGAGATGATAGTTGTTGTTGAGTCTTCCTTGGATGAGTCAGGAAACTGGCTTAAGAGCAGGAATTTTTGTGAGGGAACAGTGGAAAATGAAGATGTACAGGTAGAACAGTTATAAATGAATACTTCCTGCCTTAGAGGGTGGTTTGCAGGTGTAATGTGTGCTTTGAAACTGTGAAATGCTTCCAGATCAAAGTATTAGTGTCATGATGGAAATATAATTGAAAGGGACCTAAAGCCACTGGTGAAGAGTAGGACAGGCTTGTGTGAGTTCTCAACACAGACCCATGGGCAGAACTTGCAAAACACAGCAGATTCCAGTCCACAGAACTTTCCAACAGAACTGATGGCTCTAACAGCTACATGAGCCACATGAGCTCTCAGTCATTCCGGGGCAGGCCAGGTGACCACCTGTTTTAGCTGTTGCTACAATAGTCCCTTCACAAGTTGGAAGAGGTCTTTCAGTTTTTAAACTTAATCAGATGAAAACACAAGAAACCCACTTGAAAAGCACACAAAATCCTACCTTGGGTGAAACAGGTATCAATCAGGCTTATCCCGCCTACTCTGATTGCTTCCTTCCTCTATAGGTGGCTTTTAAGGGGACTACTTTGAGCAAGTATGGGTGATTTTTGTGACATCAAGTACAGTTGAAATCCTTAGAGCAGATTTTTGGAGCATGATAGAGTTGGTATTTATGGGTTTTTTTTGTTTGTTTTTTGTTTTTTGTTTTGGTTGTGGGGATTGAACCCAAGGCCTTGTGCATGCAAGGCAGGCACTCTATCACTCTACCAACTGAGCTATATCCCCAGCCCTTTAGAGTTGGTATATAAGGCAGGTTTTTCTTGGGGTGATCAGAAGGGATGGTGGGGAGGAGAGACCATCATAGCAAATGCAGACAAAGATGGCAGCCACGAGAATGGAGCAGAGGATGGAAGGAGGTTCAGAAGATAAAAACAGGAGTAATTAAAGAGGAGGCCCAGAGAAAGGAGGCTGGGAATGGTGCTCATTATGGAAAAGAGGGCAGGTTTAATTTTGAGTGCCAGAGAGCCCTGTAAAGCAAATGTTCTTCAGCAGATTGGGTCACAGGCATAGAACTCTGGTACGTGTTAAGGGATGTAAGTGGATGGTCATTTGCTCCAGAATGACATTAGACAGATGCCTTCTCCAAGACAGCCACTCTGTGAGATGCAGACAGACCCCAGGAAGAAGGGAGAGAGAGGAAGAGAAGTCAAAAGGGAAGCTGCAGTGAAGAAAAGGGAGAGAGTGTAGATGACCTCGTTCTAGAAAGGGAACGTATTTCTGGGACTAGGCAAGAGGCTGCAGGCTGTTTTGTACTAGAGCTATTCTTTATGGACTGTGGCTGCTGTGACACGATGTGTGCACCCTTCTAGGTCCAATTCCCTGGCCCACTCTGTGGAGCTCAGCTGCCAGCCTGAAATTTTTGTTACCTGATAGATCTAGAGATACCCTTCTATTTGATGTCCTTAAATTGTTTTAAAGGAGACTAGTTTTGCATGGATGAATTAGGGCATTTTGGGATATGGAACGGTGGAAAGTCACTTATGGCTGTTACTTGAGGGGAAGAGAGGTAACGAAAAGGAACTTTTGACATGGGTGAGACAGAATGGCCTTGGAGCAGAGAGATTCGAACCTTGGCCCAGTAGAGGCCCTCAACTCCTCTAACTTAGGATCACCCCAAGTCCATCCAGCAAGCCTAACTTGAGACCAGCCAAATGTGGATTATTTACAGGTCTAAAGATAGCTGCTCCTACCTTTAAACTCTCTGTTGCTAGTTTGTTTTTGCTTAAAATCTCTTAAACTGTAGACCAAACCTTAGGTTCTGTAATTCTAGAAAATATTCTTAAACCTAAATATTTAGCAGAGTTAATGCATGAACTTTTATGGTTTTCTTTGGAGCAAGGCAAGAGGATCAGAAACCAAGAATGCTATAGGCTACTTGATTTACAGGAGAGTCTTTATCTAATATGAAAAAGAGAACTGAGAGGAATCTGTTCATATGAGCCATGCTAGGTGATGGTGCAGTGTGAGGCCTGGTTGAGTCTGGTCAGGAGTGAGGCATCAGAAAGGACCTGCTAGACCTGCACTATGTCTGGGCACATAGTACATAAAGAACTTTCCGCTTCTTTTCTCAGCTTGAATCCTTGAGTTATTTAATATATTGTAGGTTTAGATGTACTTACTTCTAATCATTTGATCATTTTGACTGAGTTTAGTGAAGACCCTTTTTCCATGGGCCTATTGTTCTGGGTGGAGTCCTTTCCATTTTACTGTACAGCTTACCATCTCATCCTTCCACAGTGACAGTACTAATGAGATGGTTCCCATTGAAGACTGAAATTGTTAGGATTTTTTGGGGGGGGCGGGGGATGGGAGATGGAGGTGGGAGGAGTAAAACAAAATTCAAAGTAGTTTCTCAGTCTCCATTGGTAAAATGTATTGCTCCATTGCAGAACAGGTAGGGATGGTGGTGTAAAACAAGGTCCAGATAATTCTCTCAGTCTCCATTGGAATGAGTCTAGGATACAGGGGTTTATTAAGACAGAAAGATCCTGGGATTGAACCATTGTGCATGAAAGACTGAATTCAGTTTCTGTATCTCCTCAGATTAAAAGGAGTGTGATCTTGCAGAGTTAATTTAGTCTCTGAGTAATGATTTTCTCAAGTGGAAAGTGAAAAAAGTATCACTTGCCACTAAGTAAACTGTAGATCATATGAAGCACAGAGATCTTTGATTGAGAAGTCCGAATAATTTAGGCTTGTGAATATATGCAAGTCTGACTGCCTTGTTACTTTGGTAAGAAATTTAGAAACAGAATGAGTTTAAAAAAACCCAAAATAACAAAAGAAACTTCTAAAAAAAAAAAAAAAAAGCAGTTATTTGCACAATTCCCTCTGATCCCTACACTGAGTTCCTTTGGAGGCAACTGAGGAGATGGAAGTGGAATAATGAAATGGGAGGGATGATTGGGGAGGGAGAGACTCAAAGGGGACCATAGAGGATGCCATTAAGAAAGGAAAGTCTGGGGTTGTGGCTCAGTGGTAGAGTGCTACCACACGTGAGGCCCTGGGTTTGATCCTCCGCACCACATAAAAATAAATAAATAAAATAAAGGTATTGTGTCCATCTGCAACTAATTTTTTTTTTTTTTTAAGAAAAAGGAAGGTACTATTGGAATGAAGGGAATGAAACAGTGTCCAGTTTAGTTCAGTCTGTCAAGGGGGTATAGTACAGAGCTCCCTATTAGGTATAAGAGTTGGGGTCTAGGGAAAGAGAAGTGGGAGAGGGCCACTGGGTTTGGGAGAATCAAGATTCATCAGTAACCTTTGATTGTGGTGAGGGATTTACTTAATAGTAAGTACCGCATACTTATTTGTCTCATTTAATCCTCACACCAGCCCTGTGACATGGATCTTGTTTCCATGGATTTCAGTTTACAACTGTCTGAGTGCCCTAAGAAAAGCTTAACGGGGTTAAATAAAGTCCTGCAACCAGTGAAAAACGGAGGAGCCTGTCTTTGGCCCCTGGTTTGTCTGATTCCAAAACCCATGACCTTACCAGCCTCTGGGAGCTGGATTCTGCACATGGGGTGGAAGTGAGACCATAGGTACCTACTGACAGGGAGCGTGGGAGGAGACAGTTAGGAAAGGCAGACATTAATTCAGTGGTTTGGCTTTAGGAAGGAGGGGAAAAAAAAATGGTGACTCAGGTCACAGAAAGTGAAGTATTTTCCCAGGAATGTTAGGCTTCTTATTTGAAACTTATAAAAGAGATGTTGGAGGAAACAGGGAAGGAAAAAAAAAATCTGCCCAGGAGTGCTGTTCTGGGTTCTTCCTTTATTTATGTTTGACCTTTAGTATGTCTGGTAAGCCATGCAGCGTATGATTTATTTTTCTTTCTCTCTTCCTCTCTTCTCTCTCTTTTTTCCTCTTCTTTTCTTTTAATTTTAACCCAGCTGCACAGTGCAATAATTCCTTAACATTGGATCATGGGATCATGAAGAAGGAGACTATCTCCCTTCCTATGTGATTGCTCTAAGATTTTGGGAGGAGGTTAGCATTGATTCCAAGTAGGACATAAGTAGACCATAATGGTAATGATAAGAACACCCAGCATGCCTTAGGCTGTGACTGCTCTTGACCTTCCAAAGCACAGTTCTATCTCTACCTCTGTGGTCCTCTGTGGTCCTCTGTGCCCAGTCTTGTGCTCCTTCCTCTGCTACCCTCTTCTTCCATTTTGGATTCCTCAGGAATCATCCCGTGTGGCTTTTGTCTGATTTTTATTGTTATCATCAAAGCAAATGCAATCTTACCTTGAGGAAATACTCTCATCAAACCACTTACCTCAGGACTGGCTTTCTTGGAGTTGGTCAGTACTCTCAGGGAGTGGAGGGCTTGAATGCACTTGAAGAAAGTTGAAATTCAGAAAGTATGATAAGCAAAAGAATTTGTTCTTATTTCATTAATATGCATGTGTTGGATGGGATACTCAGGCACTCAAAGAACATTTATGTGAAACCATGGGTATGAGGTTGCCTAACTGGACTTGGGCCAAAGAAACAGAGGCTTCTGATGTGACTGTAGCACAAATTGCCAGCCACCACCCAGTATGGGATGCTCACGTAGCTGCAGTCCATCGCTAACCATGTCCAAGGAGAATTCACCCACAGGTTGTGCTGGGTCCCTGTTCTTGCGCCAATTGTTGAGGTAGAGCCTTTCCTAAGAAATTATTATAAAAGTGGTGGGTTGACTCCTCTCTAAAAGAGAAAGCCAAGGATTTGCCTCTTTGAAGCCCACCCTGCCAAGGAGGAGGACTTGGAATCTCTGTCCTGCGGTACTTCACACGGACAGTTCTGCATCTCTACTGAAGCCCAGAGCCATTTGTCCACCGCTGTAAGCATTTCCTAAAGGCAAACCAGATGTGCTGGTACCATTTCCTTGAAGGAAAATGAAAGAAACCAAATACCCAGCAGCATGCCGTGTGCAGAAACAATCTGCTTTAACTCAAGGTTAATTGAAAGAAGTAGGGGATGCATACGGTAGATGAACACAAATGATTCTAGCATTAAAGAACTTAGACAGAGGGTAGAGTTTAAGCTAAAAAAAGGGAGGGGGAAGGAAGTGTTCTCAATTCTTTTTTCTTTTCTTCTTCCTAGCAAGAACCAGTTGAGTCATCTTTGGGGCTTAGTAATGGAGTAAGTGATCTTTCTCCTGAGCTCGCGGTCCTGACTTCAGCTATAAAAAATGAAGTGGATAGTACGGTGAACATCATAGGTAAACCGTTTTGACATCTTATTTTTTATACGCACAAGCAGCCCTCTGAGGTCTAAAATTTGTAAACCAGTGATCTTGAAATAACATCATCAGTAGGAGGAGGTCTTGGAACCATCTCAAAATCCAACTTCCATTCCCCAGATTTCAGGGCTGAAAAGCAAAGGCCTTTAAGGATGAAATAAAGGAACCCACATGGGTCTGCCTCAGAAAAGAAGGCCCTGAGCGACTTCTAGGAAAATGCTTCTTCTCCCGTGGCTGATGGTGACTGGTTCTTACTCTTTCACTATTTAGTCACATGGATGAGTCTGATTTTTTTTTTTAATTTGGGAAACAAGGAGGGGGAAGATGGCCCTTGCACCTACTCTCAGCAGCTGCTCCTTGGCTCGCTTGCCTCCAAGGTGGTGCTCATTTTACAGGTGAAGAAACTGAGGCACAGAGACCTGTTGTCAAAGATGCACAGTGTGATTTTGTAGGTACTTCGGAGCACACACCAGACTCCGTACTCTGAGCAGGAAGTGGATGGGGGAACAAGGCAGGTCCAATTCCTGTTTTCATGGAGGGACATAAATAGTAAGCAAATAAACCCACAGGTAGCTACTGCATTCCCATTTGTAGTATATACCTCATAGGAAGAGAACAAAGAGATGGGAGAGGATAGCCTTGAGTCAGATTTAGATTGGGAGGTCCCAGGAGTGATGTTTCCCTGCAGACTGGTGTGAAGAACAGCATGGGACCTGGGGCAGGCACGATGCCCTCAGAGTCTGGGGGCACAGAAAGAAGCAAGTGTGACATAGTGTAGGGAGCACAGTGAGGTCCCCTCAGAGGGCGGCGGGAGGTGTCAAGGGGGCCTTTGCATGCTTCAGGGAAGGAGGTTGGGGTTTATCCCAAATTTGCTGGAGAATGTTTTCTAAAACTTCTTCTTTTTTTTTTTTTCTTTTTTAATTTGAAGTATGACCCAGACCGCGAAGTGCCCAGGTGTTTTATATACTCACATAATGGAAACACCCTCCCTTGGAACTCATCTTAGCAGTGTCTGGGATGCTATGGTGAATGGGTGGTGGGGACCTCATGCAAGAGTAGAGGCCAGCAGTCAATGTAACTTTTTCCTAGAATTCGGAGCTGGGGCTTTGTGGCCCTCCGGTACCTTTTGGTCCATTTAACTTTGTTCCAACAGGGCTCCTGATGTTTAATAAGAACTAGAGAGATCAAACACAGCTTTAAAAGCCAACTTCCTGCCTGGGCACCTTCATTTCTAGATCCTCAGTTTGACAGTGACAGGAGGCCACACAGGGTATAAATAATATCTCCTTGTTCCCCTTGGTTTTGGGGTTTGGGGAGTAGACTTGCATATGCAGAGACTGCCTTAAGCATTGAGGTCTCTGAGAGATGCAGTGTGAGGCAAACAGAACGCCTGGTCTAACGTGGGTGATGGTCAGAGTCTCATTTGGATCTTCTTCCTGCCCAGGAGAATGTAAGCCACCCTAAAACTGAAAGTCTCAAATGACTAGTGAATAACGAAACACAGATATTTAGAAATATATTTATAAGAGTGAAGCCCCTGATAGATCTAGTCTACATGGGTGGGCCCTGCCCTGGAACTAGACAGCAAAAAGATGGCTCTGGTGGTTTATTTAAGGGGCTACATCAAAGGCAGGGGGTACATCATGGGAGGAGTCTTGCTTCATGATGTCTTACCGTCAGCAGGTTGATTGACRTCTTGTCAGGTCAAACCCATCTCAGGTGCTGTGTGGGACATGGCAGAGCTTGAGGGGGAAGTTCACCTGCATCAGACGATCAGTCCCTGTGGGGGTCCAACGGGATGTTCCCAGTGTCAGACTTATACCCTCGCYAGGCTACCAGGTGCAACATAGTCCACACACAGCTCATGACACTGGCCTTTCCCCCAGTGCCAGCACCCAGACTTGACACTGGGATGGAGGCAGTAAGTCCCACTGTAGGGTTTGAGCCCAGAGGGATCCTGGAGACTAAACATATTTCTCACTTCCCAGGGAGGAAGCTCAGGCCTCGTGAGTAAAGCCACCTGCCCACCAGAAGCCCAACTTTCCCCCCTGCTGGACCCCTTCATTTGATGACCCACCCTTTACCTCCCTCTGCCCCTGTGGCTGTGTCTCCCCACCCCCTGGTTCTGCACTGCTGGCCTTTCTCAGCAAGATTCCCTGAAAGGTGCATGCTGCCCCTTGAGCCCTTTAGAAACAGGAAGATGTTTGCCCAACTCCAGGCACATTTTCTTAATATTCAGCTTATTTTGAGTGAAATGGTTGGTGTTTGGGGAAGTTTCCTTTATTTATGAGGTGAGGTCAGCCTCAGATGATATGCCAAAACAAAGCCAGAGTTGTATCAGGGTTTTCTTTACTTTTTTAAAACATTACTATTCCATTTATTTTTAGTTGACAGATAATACTTGCATGTATTTATGGGATACAGGATAATGTTTTGATTTATACATGTATTGTAGAAAGATTCATTAAAGCTAATTAACACTTCAACCACTTATTCTCTCTCTTTTTTTTTTTGAGGTTTAAAAATGTTTTCAAAAATCTATTCTTGTAGACATTTTGAAATATACATAACATTATTATTATTTTTTATTTCTTTTTAGATATGCATGACAGCAGAGTGTATTTGGACATATTATACATACATGGAGTATAACTTATTCTAATTAGGATTCCATTCTTGTGGTTGTACAGAACATTATTATTAACTGTGGTCACTATGCAGTACATTTGGACACTAAAGCTTATTCCTCCAGTGCACATGGGACCCTGTATTCTGAGATCAAACATCTTCCCTTTCCTTCTCCTCCCCACCCTAGCCTCCATTCTCCTGTAACCACCTGTCTTCTCTCTGTTCCTATGCGATTGACTTTTTTAGATTCCACATATAAGTGAAATTACGCAGTATTTGTCTGGCTTATTTCTCTTGGCATTAATGTCCTCCAGATCCACTTTTTAAAAATCATTTTGTTTGAGTGTTCAGGGTGTAAGTTCTCTGTGGGTTGTTTTCTCTTTTTCTCTTGTGTGATGGGTGGGCCTGGGGCTGTTGTGAGGGGAAAGGGGCTGTACTCTCTCCTGGTACCAAGATAGTGGCCAGCTCTGGTTAGAGACTCACCTACTGGATTAAGTGACTTCCTGGTGTTAATAACAAGTTCATAATAACGAGCAGCAAAATGAGTTTGAGGATATTTTTCTCATTAATTGATGGCCCTTAGGAAGGTATGTAATTATATGTAAGTTGATTCATGAAGTATTTAAAGAGAAGGGTAATTTGCAGTCGTTGCTCACTGTGGTACCATCTCAGACAATGAGCACTTAACAGTGCTCTTTCCCCACAGCCTCCCATGTGATTATTAATGAGCCATCTTTGGCATCGTGATTTGTTGTGRGAGAGGAGGAACACGGGGATTTGCATCCCAAGGCCACTCTGGCATTTGAGATATTGTTGCTCTGTCTCTCTTTACCTTGCAAAATGCTCTATATAAAAATGACAGTTTCTTGCTTTCAGGTCCTGGGTTTCTGAACCCAGACATCATTTCAGTTTTCTGTTCAGGCCCCTAGGTGAAAGCTATAAGGTGTTTTCATCCTACTTTATTGAATTACATTTATAAGATTAAAATCAGAAGCTGAAATGAGTACTTAATATGATAGTATGTATGTTGTCTCAGAGCTCTTTAGGAAAATGGATTGAAAATCAATAACTGAATCCAGTGGAAGACCAGCCACTAGTACATTCTTCTTTTCTTTTTTTAAATACATATTTTTTAGTTGTTGATGAACCTTTATTTTATTCATTTATTTATATGTGGTGCTGAGGATCAAACCCAGTGTCTCACACATATTAGGTAAGCGCTCTACCACTGAGCCACAACCCCAGCCCGACTAGTACATTCTTATTCTGGACAGACTTGGCTGTTTTCCTTTCTGTGTGAATAACTGTGTAAAATGGGAAAGGTACTGTTGCCCTGACAAATGAACTCTTGCTTCATTGCTGCAATGTTTTGCTTTTATTCTTGCCACAATGCACCACAGAAACACACACCCAGGAATTGTCAGAGGGCTGTATCCTGGTCTTGCCACTCTCTCCATAACAGCTGGATGTATTTTCAGAATTATCCACCTGTGCGTACCAGAGAGGAGTGTGATGTCTCCATACTGAAACTAGTCTCCAAAGGTCCCTTCACTACTGTCTTATTAAGTGCCCAAGCTTAGCACCCAAAAGACCTATCCCCGATTTCCCTTTAAGAGGAGGGAAGAAAAAAAGAAAACTCCTTATTTTTTATTTTTAAATTTCTTTAGCATTGAATTTTGTTGTTTGTGTGTGTTGACTTCTGATTTAGGAAATGGAAGAAGCCAGCAACATGTGGAATTGTTCTGACAGTGCGTGCTGGCCTCTTGCCAAGGTTAGCAGTGCTTTTGCTGAGCTGTATGGAAATGCTCTCCAGGCCAGCCTAAGAAGTTTGCAGGTGCAGAGGACATTCCGTCTGACTTGCCTGGGCAGTACTTTACAGTCCCATTGTGTTGCTTGATAAAAGGCRACCCCACCCTTCCATAAAGCAAAGATCACTGGAAACAAAAGATGCTATTCATCACTCTGAAGTTCATAAAGCAAAACCAGAGTAACTAGACATAACAGCAATTAGGAAGTAATGTATTTTGAATTTTGTCTTAATTTTGGATGCCCAGAGTGCAGCTTTGAGTGCACACTCCTGGCAGTTGCTTTCAATTTGACTAACTTTATCTAAAGCAAAGTTTAAGTAGCTTTTTTAGCCCAACCTAGAAACCCAGCTGTCAATAGAGGGGGGCAGAAGGAGGGGAGAACAGATTCACAATGTGGAGACCCACTTTGGTGTCCCCTATGAAGGCCTCCCAGTTAGAACTCCAGGGTGGCAGCCTCCGGCACCAGAATTATGTGATTTTGAGGATGACCAAAGGTGCTAATGAGACCCAGCGTCAAGGTGTGATTCCATTTTTTCCATTTCT